AGCCATACATTACTACTGGAAAAACCATAGATTATGAAAGGTTTTCTGATAACACATTTCATGGAGACATTGACATGTAATGGGCCACTTGGGCCATGAAGTTCATGACTGTCCAGCCTCTGCTTCAATTGAAGAGGGAGTCTATCCTTCTTTTGGCCCATTGGTTCCACTCTCAGCCTAGAAAGTGTTGGGGTGAGGTCTAGCAATACACCTCTTCTCAATCCCTACTTGAAGTGATTACTGAGGACCATAAAGAAATCCCACAGCAGACAGTATCCTTCAGGGTTTAAGCTAGCTGAGGGATTTGTTGAACGTTTGTGTCTACTTGCTTCACTGTATGAGATAGTTAATGCCCATGTAGAGAAAAAGCCATGAGACAAAGAGAGCAAAAAGAACTCTTTTTATGTGTGTGTGTGTGGAGAGGGGTGAGAATTAACAAAAAGAAATGTAACTATTCCAGGAAAGTAAATATAACAAATTATGGAGGGCCTCAGAGCTGAACTTGGAGTAACTATGCAAAGATAGTTATAACAACATGTACACAAACATGTTTTAAGTCTGGAAGGATGTCGATATAGGAATATTTTTTATTACGGTCACTGACCATAATAACACATTAACACATTAAAAATAAAATAAAAACAAAACAAGATAAAACATTACAATTGGTGTGGTAAGCAAGACAAGGAAATTGACTCTCCAGATTTGATGGGAACTATCCTTTACTGAAACAGGCTGCAGCAGCCTTTCTCAGCTGGGGTTCTGTAAACCCCCAGGGTTCTGCAAGAGATTGTCACTGAAAAAATAAAAAAATAAAACATTGCTTTTTTAACTTCACGCACCGTGCAATGTTAGCACTCACAGTGGTGGGAACTTTTACGTGCTGCGACTCAGCTGCTGGCCTGCCTCTCTGTTTGGGTGTAGATGCTGTAAAATGTGGATTGTGTGTGATACTGTATAATGTATAGTGATGATGATAATGATCATGATGATGATGATGAGCAATTTTTATGCAGGGATACCCTGAGACCTGAAAATTATTTAAAGGCTTAGTTTAAGGTAAAAAAAATGACAAAGGCTGGGCTCTAGTGACAGAATCTTGAAAGCCCAACTGTGTTTTGTTTTCCTCCCTCTTATATCTCAGAGAGTTAGGGCAGAGCATTATAACACCTTAGCTGGTAAAACACCCAGGAAATTCTGATCTTTTTAATGTACAGTTGTTGTTATCAGAACAGTATGAGTCAGTCTCCTTGAAGGTAGCTAAGTTTTGTTATGCTGCCTGTAAAATTGTTGTTTAGTTTGTGCCATCTTTTGTTCTTTGTTTTTATCATTGTACTATGTTATTGTTCTGTGTATTTTTAGCTATGAACTGCCCAGAGTTGATGGGAGTCAGGCAGTATAAAAATGTAATAAATACATCAATAAATAATTAGGAGATATTCAAATGAGTCCTCGTTTGGAATCACCAAACCATTGGTTAGTAACCACAAGATATGCTTCATCAAAGTATCCAGTTCTGTTCTACAATCAGTATAAATCACTAGCTTTATTCATGAATAGGGATGGGTGAGAATTTTGTTGTGTTCCTTTTTTTTAACAAAAGAATTACCAAATTTCGCACACATTTTTGAATCGAATGAAAAGAACTTGAGATTTGAAAAAAAAAAAAAAAGGAAGAAAGAAAGAAAGAAAGTTAAATTGATAGGCTTGCCCATATCTCTTTGTAAAAATGTGTATGAAGAATTTGCAAAGGAGGGGACACAGAAAGGTAGATGAAAAGAATACAGGAAAGTCACTTACTGTGGCCTGTTGCTTTTCTGCCTTCTCAGCTGCCTCATTAAGCTGTTTTTGAAAGGCCTCCTGGAGTGATTTCATTTCTTCCCTAGTTTATTGAAGAAACAAAACACAAACTTCATCTCTATTGTCCATTAAGAAATAATGCCTTTGTTTTCTCTTATTTCATGACAAGGCATTTTTAATTACAGCAAACAGTTTCTGCTTCTGCTTTGTTGAAGTGGCTTATCAATAAAGCTACAAACAACCAGTGCACACCAGTAAAATTCCTAAAGGAAAATTCAGAAATAGGAAATTGCCTCCCTTTTGTATCTACTATATAGCCTGCTGTGCAAGATATTGCCACTTGAATAATTCTGGTTGGAAAAAAAAAAAAAGCACAATTGCCATAAGCAAAGAAACTCTAAACAATGGCATGTTGAATCAGAATGAGATTATTGTAAGTGGGAACCATTCTGTACTTATTTTAAAACAAACAAACAAGCAAAAATGCTTCAAATGTTAAATCTAATTCATTAGCGTTCTTGTTTCCAAAGTAAACCCCTAGTTACAGAATTGTGTTCAGAAAGAATCACTAGAAAAAGATACAGTCACACAATCTTGAATTCTTCAGGGAACAAAGGCAGATCTTAAGCTTCATTAGTGTCAGGAAATGATATGGTTCTTCTACAATTTACACCTAAGGCCAATTCAGTTTCTGTTCCAGGGATCAAATTGGATATACTTGTTTCCAAAAATGTGTCCTCTAAAATACATAACCAAGCTTCTGTTCCTACTAAATGCTTACTAAGTTTCCAAAAACTTACACAGCATTCACTTGGTGTATTAACTTATTTCTTTTCTACTGAAATATCTGCAGTATAGGCGTTCCAGTGTACTGCACGATATAATAATGCTACCATATTTGAACTTCCTAAAAAAAGTGTACTTTGAAGAGACAATTATTTTACCTAATGCTTTTTGCAAATGCTTGTATTTGTACCCCACTTTTTTCTTGGGAGTGCAAGATGCCATATATGGGGGAATCCCTCTTATTTTATCTCAACAATCCTAGGCAAGGTAGGTGAAAGCCTATAGAGAAAGATCTGTTTAAACTTACTCAATATGTTCATAGTCAAGAGAGATCTTCAGTCTGGGTCATACTGGTCAAAATCCAACATATTTTATGCAAATGAACAGAAAGCCATTCTTACTCACACATACAACACTCAAACACAATCATGCATACACATTACCCACTTTGTTCCTCCTAAACCTTCCTCTCTTCACTGCCCACCCCTGCAATAATAAACAGAAGGCTGGATCCTAGAAGCCAATGAAAAGTGAAGACGGAATCCTAAACTGGATGTCAAAGAAAAAAAGAGTGGATTCCTGGGTAGAGAAGGCTGGATTTTAGTTTGTGGGAATAGGAAGAAGAGAGGCAGGATCCAGGGCTGGGCGTCAGGTCTAGTGTTGGGGGAATGGAAGGAAATGGGTGGGTGGAAGTAAAGGCACAAGCTTGATGGAGAAGCTTGATGGCTGGGCACAGGTAGAGGAGAGGATAGATCATTACTGGGGAAAAGTAAAAGCAGAGAAGAGCAGGGACATGCAGAGATGAGGAGAACAGAGAAAAGAGCAAGAATAAGGGAGGAGGAGTAAGGGAGGGACAGGTGGAATGGCATATAGATATAGAAAGAGGAAGAAGCTTGGGGGAGAAGGTGAACAAGGCTGCTCAGAAGCTATTTCATCCTCTTCAACAATGAGCAATCCTGGACATTTCAGCTCTTTTTAGGTATCTGCTTGGATGGGGTATTCAGTCTAAAACTGGACCTGTCTGGGAAATACCAAATTCATCTTAGATTTAAAAGATACACAAACTCTATCCAAGTCATACATCTATATGTGCATATTAATATTCCAGGAGTGGTGAGTGGCCCCTTTTCCAGGGGCATTATCTGTCACTACGCCTGCTCGCTGGTGCCCTACAAGACCTATACAGTTCTGACCCTACCATCCTTAAAGACCTTGTTCTTTCCATAGACTCTGAAGCAGGATATTACAGAGCACCGTACTGAGTCAGAGTAGTTTGCTATTGTTTGGTTTTACCTCCCAATATGCTTTCTCTATTGTTGTTTTAAATTGTTAATTGCTAGTTTTAACCCTTGTAAGCCATCCAGAGTATTGTACTAGTGGGCAATCATAGAAATCAAAGTTATAAATAAGTAAACATAAATTAGATAAGATCTGGTTTTGACAACCATGTATCTGGTTTGCCTGGAAGCAAGAGGAAGCTATGATATAAAGAGCTGTTGGCAGCATTAGAAAAGGCTGGGAGAGCAAGAGTGAGCAGGAAAAAGAGTCTCTGTAGAAGCCAGTTCTCTAAAATGCAGCTACTGGAGGAGAACCAATGGAGGAAGAAGAAGAGGTGACCCCAACTGCCATGATAGCAGTCCAAATAACACCAGGGTGTATATGAGCACTCCTGGCTAGGTCAAAACCTGTTACATTCTGTATGTCAAGATGATAATTGTCCAGGACTACCTAGGGAATTAAACACTAGTGGTGCAGTGGATCTGGGCACCTCTAGCCAGGTGGAGTTCTTAGGAAAAGGAAAAAAAAAAAAAGAATCAGTTTGCACACACCAGAACAAGTTGGCTCAATAACACCCCTGGCCTGTTTTCCTTAGGAGGTATCACTGAAGAGCTAGTTTCTAGGACAGTGTTTCTCAACCTTGGCAACTTTAAGACATGTGGACCAACTCCCAGAATTCTCCAGCCAGCATGAATTCTCCAGCATGCTGGCTAGAGAATTCTGGGAATTGAAGTCCACACGTCTTAAAGTTGCCAAGGTTGAGAAACCCTGCTCTAGGAGAACTGTGTTAACTTTGGATGTTGCTTTAATTGGATGATGCTTTAAACAAAGCAGCCTCCCAAAGCTTCTTCACAAACTGAATGAGGTCCTCTCACTTCTAACATGTGGCCATGTTGATCCATTTTGGTTTGGAGCTGAAGGGTTTGGAGCTCTTCTCGGTCTTCTCCTGAGGAGTTTACAGTTTCAGAGAAGGCTGAGAAGCCCCTTTTCATCTCATGCCAGCATAAATGCACTTCAGATTCTCCAGGCTAGATGGCTTCAGCAAATGCTCCCGCAAACCCAGCCTGGCCTATGCTAGGGAAGAAGGCTAAGAGTGAAATGGAAAGACAGAAGCTTATTTCTTAGGAACTCTTTAGAAACATGGAGGCAGAATTGTTTCAGTGATAAAAATAGGTTGGACATGAATATATTCACATGAGAAAATCCTCCCTTGATGGATGAACTTCAGCTTGGATACACCCACAGTGTTTTCTTGGGTATGGTATTCATCTGATTGACATCAGCCAATGGATGGCATTAGAACCCAGACTCCAAAACTAACAAGAATCTAAAGCCAGAGATTAAGTACAAGTAGTTCTTGGTTAAGGATGGTAATTGGGACCAGCAAGTTCTTCCTTAAGCAATGCAATCATAAAGTGCAATGTAATGTGACCACACCAACTTATGATGGCAGTTGCAGCAGTTCCAATTGCCATTGTTAGGTGAATCTCGCATGGTTGCAGCACCTCATAGTCACGTGATCTTCATTTGCGACCTCTTGCCAGCTTTCCCATTGACTTTGCTTGTCAGAAGACAGCAGTCAAAGTCACAAATTACAATCATGTGACCATGGGACGCTGCAACCATCATAACTGTGAGCAGTTGCCAAGCACCTGAATCATGAACATGTGACTGCAAGGATGCTGCAATGGCTGCAACTACGAGGACTGGCCATAAGTCTACTTGTTCAGTGCCATCATAACTTTGAATGGTCGCTGAATGAGGCTACCTGTAGAATCTTAGTTTCCACCACAATTATGTCTTATTATTTGATTGGAACAGAACATTTTGAATGGAACATCCACATATTAAATACAATAGCTATCACATACACTGCCATTAAGGTCAGTGGAGTAATTTCTGAGCACTAAATGCTATGTAGTTTTCAGTAAATAAACTGGGGGACCTTTCTTAGTTGTTTCAGAAGATTTACTGCAGGGTAGACGAGGCAAAACATTAGGATTCAGATCTCTATCCGGTAGGTTCCTATGTGCTGTTTGATTTACTGTTAGGTTGTTTGAGAGTTAAATATGACATACACCTGGATTGTTCTTTGCATGAATTACAGGGCAACTGTTTTTGCCTTACTTTTTGAACTGATAGGAGCACTTTAAAATGTTGTCCTTCTCAACAAAATGGACCCTAAATTCAGGGATTCTTTAAGGAACTGCCTATATTAGCCTTATTCAGTACATGATTCTCATTGAATTTGCTTGGAGTATCAGAAGACAAATCAAGAAATGTAAGGAAATCAGCTACAGCATCATCTTCACTCATAATGCCCTGCCTATTTCTCATGGTCTGTCTCTAGGGTTTGTTAAAACTCAACATTTATTTTCTATACAATAAACTTCATAATTTTTTACTGGATTGGAAATCTTCCCTCAATCTTGATGCTACTTGGAAAGTAAGAGTGGGTGGGTGGAGAGTTTATTTCTTTTGACTTGGCTCAGAGGGGAGGTTCATAAAACTCACCTCCTTACTCTGGAGATACCACTTTGCTTCTTGTTGATCAACAGTGACTGTGGCCTAGTGTGCTGCTATTTTAATATGGCATATATAGAAGGCTGCATGTAATGTAGAATCTCTGGGAATCAAATGATGTCCCATATTATTTCCCCCCCATGGAAACAACCTTCATGCATTTCAAATGTGTCACAACAACTCTGAGATGACACTTTTGCTTTGAAAATGGCAAACGGTATCTGTTTCTAAAGAATGCAACTTCTCCAAGGCCTTGAAAACAAGACTTTGGAATCTATAATGTTCATTAGTTTTCCATTTACTAGTTAAATATGAAATTGTTTAAATTAGATACTGTGTAAATTCAGATGATCTTAAGGGGTGGGGGAAGCAAGTTCCACAGCTCAGCAGAAAAATTCCATGAAGGCTGAAGGTTATATTGTACTGCAAACTGCTTTCAGATGCAGTTTTATAGGATGCTATAATATAATGTAATAAATATTGTTTAAAATTCTTCAAGGAGAATAGAAAATGGATACATTTATTTTCCATACAAGGATAAAGACTTTTCTCCTTTTTTTTCCCCTTTGTTGATTCAATATTTATGCTATAAACTTAAGCATACAAACTGGTTCTACTCCTAAACTGTATTCTTCTTGCCAGACCCCACAGAGATGCATGCTTTGGGGCTACAAATATATCCAGACAGTCACCCAAATTGGTTTAGAAACTTGATAAGACAATATTGCAATGGTAGTGAATGTACTGTATATAGCTTGTAGCTGGCAGATTGCATTGCTGAAGTTCTATGTATTTGATTTTGGGGTTGTAGACATTTCATTCCCCTACTTGATCATATCATCATTGCAGGGGGTTTGGAAAATTGAGGTTTGTTGGTTTGTGGTATTCATATACATTTCCATCTTGGCTGTATTGCATGTGCTTGGTGGGATAATCCTCTGGGCAGATGTTGTTTTGCAAGTGATTGCATTATTGGTAATGCATTATTGGTAATTTGGTTGATAAAGTAGTGGTTCTGTCTAATGTCTGTGTTGATTGCTTCCTGCAGTGATTGGTGGCATTGATAGCTGTGTGATGGGATGGCTTTTGGGGAGGATGTTGTTCTTTTCCTGGGACAGTTACATTATAGTTGGTTAAAATTGTAGTTGTCCTAATCATATGGAGACTCCACACAAGTAGTGCAGATTCTGTAGCACAGATGTTTTCCTGAAACAGTCTTCTCAACTTGGGCTCCCTCAAGATGTGCAGACCTGAGTTCTCAGAATTCTCAGTAAGAATTATTCTTCCTGGGAATATTGGGAGTTGAAGCCCAGATATCTGGAGTGCATCCAGGTGGGTAAGATCATCCTACAATATGTGAGGGACAGTGGGAAAGTCTAGGAGTGAAGTATAATGAGCATGGTCTTACCCACTCCTTACTGCATTTAGCAGTATATGCATTTGTATACACTTATACTGCATTTAGCAGTATAAAAGTATACTTGTGATATATGCATTTGGATTTCTGAATTAACTTGGGCTCCTCTAGATCCTGTCTCTTACTATAAAATATGGATATTTGTTCTTGATTTTCTGTGCATTGCTTCACTATGACCTTTGGCACCTATCAGCTTTAAAATTTTGAGAAGAACCACCATAGATTTTATCTGCCAGACAGTGTAAAAGTTTTCCATCACTGGAAAATTGTCAGAAAAATAAACCTGAAACTATGCACTCAAATAAAGTTTCTGTTTAACCTTAACAAAATGAGAATTCAGAGTTGAACAGTCTTTTTTGTGGTAGGTCTTTATGAAAATGAAATTAATATATTTTTTCTCCAAGTGGAATAGACCGCATCATAGAAGCAACTCCGCATGTAGAAAACTGGTTTAAGAAAAAGATTCTAACCTTGTTCTTTCCTGATAACTTTACAACTTGCAAGAGGACTCCCCCCCCCTTTTTTTTTTTAAACATCAAAGCATGAAACTAGTGTTTCAGGTCAGACTGTTGCTTTTATATGGTCCACTTCTTATGTGAATGCTTTGTTTTGCTGACTGGCTTAACAAGGTAAGAATTCATCACCATTTTCTGTTTATATGAGAAAAATATAATAGTTAAGACAAATAAATGCTGAATCATACCTTTGTTTCTGGCCTAATTCCAGGAGTTTCTGTACATCACTTTTGGCTGATGCCTCATCATTTTTCAAAGACTGATAACAAAGGGAAGAAACCAGGTGTTACCAAGGAGCTCCTTAAAACTTTCACCACTAAAATTATTCATTGTGATTTTTTGTATTAAAGGCTTTATGTGAAAAGTACATTTTATGACAGAAAACAAACTGAGGAAGATACAACTTTGTTCTTCTATTGCAGGGTCTTAACAGCACTCTCAAACAAATTTGGTTGTTCACATGGCAGAAATGATTCAGATTTAAAATGAACTTGAACATCAAATGCGTCCAAATATCAGTATATGTCAGGGAAAGTTTAGTTCTTATCATCATCCTTGGGTGGGGACTTGTCATAGGTTTCCCAGCCAAATATCATGATGCATTATCTTAATATTGACAAGGAGTCCAAAGTATTTTTGTTACATCCCCCTTTATCTTAAAAGCTATATTTCAGAAAGAGAAAAATCACTTCCGTTAGAAAATCAATGCCCTTGTTTTCCACATTACCAGTTGGATTTAAGACAGAAAAGAAGACCTTGATTCTTCAACTTATATGCCCTTCTTTCTTCACAGAGCAAGCTCTTGAAAATGAAAAATGAAATATTAGAAGTGCTTTTATCTTAGGCTTTCTGTCTTCTCCATCTCTTTGCCTTTCATTCATCACTGAACCACAAATGGAGGAAGGGCTAGAAAAGTCTTCTCCAAATGATCTATGCCATACCAGAGACAGAAATCTGATTGGTAGGAAGAATTGGGAATTGAGCATACCAATACTTAAAGAAGTGCTGGTGATGATCAGAAAGTAATAGTAACAAGAAAAGAAAACAGAAAAAGAAGGAACAAAGTTCTTTTGCCTTCTAAATTGTGAAACCTTCCACTAATATTACATTAATACTCATTTCAAAAGGCTTGCATAGTTCTACAGAAGGGCTAAAAAGGGGAGTTGACATGAATGAATAGGCAAGCTACCATGAAAATTCCCATCCCCTCTATCCCTTGTGCAGAGAGGTCTGAAGGGGGTTAGTAAGTCATGCTTGCTTGAATATGATCAGAAAAACGTTATCCAATAAAGTCATCTGAGAAGGCAGAAATACAGGTAATGCAGGCATTTCTACACCACTTAAGAAGAAGCCAACAGTGAAGGGGAAACTCAGGGAAAGCACTTGTATCTTTGTCTACATCCCATGTCCACATTTAACCCTCATGTGAGCAGAATAAATAATATCACAGACTTAATGAAAAATGCATTTTACCGCTGTAGTAGAGGAGGAAAAAATTAAATTCTGACCTGAAGGTTTACTTTAATTCCCTCAAGCTCTTTGGACGTCTTTGACAGCTGGCGAAGTATGTTGCTTCTTTCCTTAAAGACTTCTTTAAGTTGTCTTTCCAGTTCTTCATAGCCCTGTCTAACACATTAAAAAGACAGTGGTGAGATCATCTAAAATAACTGAAGCAACACAAATACAACTGGAAATTACACCTTGGGTTGATTGCTACAGTATCCAGTTCATTTACTGACCCAAAAGAGAGTTGTTTTGTTATTATTATTTTTTTTATAGTCCCTGATCTGAACATCCACAGCCATATCCTCATGTATTCAGGATAGCAGCCTTATTATCTGTTAGACTTTTGTAACATACTATTTTGGCTCAAAAATCTGCTAATTATAACTGGTATCTGTGCGACAATATTTTAAATTCAACAAATGTTACCTTTTGGGGTGACTTTAACATTGAAAATAAAGAAGTGGAAAAAATAAATATTGGGAAAATTGTTCACATGTACTGTACTCTGCGCTATTCAATGTTACTACTCTCTTGCTGTTTTATGTATACATTCCCAAAGCCTATCCCTTTTCTCTACAAAGAAATCAATAGCAAAGGTACATTCAAAGCTAAGGAAACTAACACAATTCAGTTCTGAGGAGAAAGAAGGAGAAGGAGAAGGAGAAGGAGAAGGAGAAGGAGAAGGAGAAGTTTTGATAGCTTGGGGAAAAGAAACCAGCACAAAGGGGGAATGGATCAACAAAATATCCTTTGTGCTGCAAAACTGAGAGCTACTTCCTCTGAATGTAATCAAATGATATTACTGCAATTATAAGAATGACAGAAGTTTCAAACAATGCACTCTTTTGTGGATTCCAAAGCATCAGTGATAAAGGAGTAACCAGAGGGTAGAGGAAACTTTGCATTCTGGCATAATCTGGAAAGAGCAAAATATTGGTCTTTCCCTCATCAAAGTTAAAGCGGATAATAAACTCTGAACTAGTGACAAGAAGAAAGAACTTATTGCCTCCAATCTAAAGTTGCTTATTCATGAATTAATAGACCTAGGGAATGATGTGACTAGGTAATTTCAATCTTCTCACACTCCCACCTCCCTTTAAATGGACATAAAGATTACTTCATTTGTGAAGCATACAGAAAACTTTACCTTTCAATTACCACTCTTGCATTATTCCATGGTTTACCACTGCTGATTTGTTATGGTTATGTTGTAACAAAACAAATAAGCAGTTCAACAATATTAATATGAGATTCTGTCTGTAAGTCCAGCTTACGTTTTAAACTTGTATAAAGTACTATAGTGGCCAGAGGAATAAAACAGAGTTTATTCATGCAGTTCCAGATGCTAAATGCATTTATTTGGCAATAAAAACAACTATGTTACAGAAAAATCATCTACGCAAGTAATGTAATGATCATCTGTGGCCATGTATATTTCTGGAAATACCCTAATGTGAAGGAAGCAGGGAAGGAGGGAAGAGTTGGAAGCAGTGTCAGATCTCTTGGGCCTCAGACAAGCCATGTTGAACCAGGTGCTGAAACCAGTGTCCTATCATCTGTCACTCTCCAGATCTAGACTTTGGCTCAGAAGCCATAGCTGTGCCACAGAAATGCCCAGGGCTTATCTTGATTTCTTCCTAAGATTACTGTTTTAAGGATTCTTGTTAGAATATGAATGACTCCAGAGTTCTGATCTGGTAACCAAAGTCTTGGTTATTCAAATGGAAGCTATATATTGGGCCAATATAAATCAATTGTGATTCAATTCCAATTTGAGTTTCAAAGAGGCATGGGTCCATTTGAATTTATGATTAAAAAATCAAGAGTAAGATAAACTGATTTGAACCACTATAAGATTTGAGTTAAAAAAAAAAAAGATTTATCCATCTGCAGCTGCTTCATTTTTTGCAGAATAGGATGAAAGTAGCAGGAAGAATAAACTTTAAGGGGAGTTTATTGCCAAGTTCAGTGCCAAGGTTCCACTGAATATCTTCAAGGGTTTTCTTGCAATAATTTTTTAGTATATTCTTTCTGCACATAGTTAGTAAAAATATGTGTGTGTGTGTGCATGTATGTATGTATGACATGTATTCATGAATTAATAGACCTAAGGAATGATGTGACTAGGTAATTTCAATCTTCTCACACTCCCATCTCCCTTTAAATGGACATAAAGATTGCTTCATTTGTGAACCATAAAGAAAACTTTACCTTTCAATTACCACAGATATATATTTGTTTCTTTTCCTGGAGTTTGGGAAAACACTGAAAAATAACCATTGGCCTGTCCTCATAGGGTATGTGAGGGAGTCAAGTTGGGAAGAGTAGCTGCAGCCAGGCAGAAACACTTCTCACCCCATTTCCCTCATATATTCATTCATTAATTCAAATTTTACTCACAAGCATCCAAGTTGGCATTTCAGCTGCCTGTGATAATTGAGCCACACCCTGCCATTTTCAAGGGTGTATTGATATCCAGAGGCAGCGTCACCCCGCCCAGGCTCTTAGCTTAGAAAAGCAAATGCCAAGACAGAGTAGGGAGGTGCATGTGTAGGAGGAAAGGTGGTAAGCAAATGGCATACAGATGGAGAAGTGGAGGCAATGTCTGGAGATTGGCAGCTATTACAAGCAGGCAAGAGGACTATCATTCAACTGGCAGGACCACAAGTTATGGTGAGCAACATAACCTGGTGGGAATCCTGCTTGGAACTTGGCTGGGACCTCAGTAGCAACTAGAAGAACAACAACCACACTGAAGCAACACCTCATCCCAACTAGGGTAAGAATGTTTGGAAAAAGACAAAGGTTGTATGCCATTTTACAGACTTATAGACTTTTGCTTGAATTAAGTAGTTAAAGGCTGAGTATTAAAGACATATTTACATGGCAACATCACCTTGCAAGTCCTAGATGGGTGGA